ATCAGATAAGTCAGCATTCAATGAGGCATCATTCTCATAAGCTTCAAAGGCCCTCTGGTATTGAAGGGCAGTGTTAAGCATCATGTATGTGCTGTTCCATCTTGTTGGAACATCAAGTTGTAATGTACATTTGGCTTCCACCCCATTAAGCACAACAATCTCTCTAAACTTCTTAAGTCTGGCAGGAGAACTCCTCACCCATCTCACAACATCTCTAACTTTCTTAACAGAAGGACCTGCATATCTCAACCCATCCTGGACCACTAAGTTCAACACATGGGCTATGCACCTCATGTGCATATATTGAACCCTAACAGAAGACCCACCCCAAGACAGAAGTTTGTTCTTGAAAAACCCCAAAGCTGTGTCATTTGAAGAGGCATTATCAACAGTAACAGTGAAGACATTTTTAATCCCCCAATCAAGAAGACAACTCTCAAGGGCTTTGGCTATGTACTCTCCCTTATGAGAAGAAATTGGGACAAAGGAAATGATCTTTTTTGTTTAGCTTCCACTGATCATCAATGAAATGTGCAGTAATGCACATGTAATTGATCCTTTGGACAGAGGTCCATGTATCAGTGGTCAAGCTGACCCTTTGGGTGCTCACCTTAAACAACTCTTTTAGGGTTATTATCTCATCTAGGTAAATCTGATAAATGTCTCTAGAAATGGTCCACCTAGAAGGGATTTGAAACCTAGGACAAGCAACTAAAATGAATTTCCTAAAGCCATTTCCCTCAACAATCCTAAAGGGAAGTTCATCAACAATGATCATCTCACACAATGCCCTCCTAATAGCCTCTTGGTTGAAAACCCAAGTCCCCAAAACCCCCTCAGAAGCTTCTGTTCCAGAGGCATTAAAGGTGAGAAGAGACTGCCTTATGTCCTTACAATGAGGATTTTTTAGGCAGGCCTTCATATGGTTTTTCAAAGAGGAAGTGCCATGCTTTTTACTTTCACATTTATAAATTTTGGCACAATAAAGGCATTTGCCCTCAACTACTGGTCCCTCAGTTTCACCTTCAGCAGGTGGAGCACGGATCTTTTCAAAATGATCCCATACTATAGATCTAGACTCCACCTCTTTCCTCTTCTTTGTAGGAACAACAGGAGGAGAAGGCATAGGATTTGTCTGAGGATTTCTCTCAGTACCTTGAGCTTCTACTCCATGCTCCTCATCAGTTGAGGTTGGAGGGTGTCCAGTTGCACTGATGCTTTCCATCTATAAAGATGGGCATCAGTATCCACATTTTAGGGAGATTACAAATCATACAATCATATTAAAGCTTCCACCATACAATCATACATAGAAGTATTACATATTACACTTCCACATATTGAACAAAATCAGATATTCAGATAGTCACAGAGAACTGAGAGAACTGAGACCACATAAATTACATAATAAACAATTAAACATACAAAGATATCCAGAATCAGACACATGGACATAGTAGTTTGTGTCATCATTTTTCCAGATTTAACAATTACCAATTAAGGGTCATACATCCATAAACTGATAGACATAATAACATATACAATAATACAAACAAATCCAGATTCAGGAACTCAGTCCAGATCATCATTATCTGGATTTGAGTTAAGGGCTTCCACCAATAAATGGAAATTCCCACACTGGAGATTTCACATTTTAGCCTTTAACTCGGATTGTTAGATTACAAATTTGCATGGCATAAAATCCAGATTTCACAAAATCAACACTTAAAAATCAGTTTGTAAAAGGCTTCCACCAACAAATAGCATAATATATGAATATATCACCAAATATTCATCACAGACTCATTGTAAATGAAGATATATAAATTATAAAACTAGGGTTTACGATTTACTTGATTTCTCCCAAATAATCCCGGGAGAACAAGGGCTTCTAATCACCAGTTCACCAGTAATCACCACGGCTTCCACCACTTTGACTCTCAGAGACAGAGAGTAAGAGATTAGAGATTAGAGATTGTAACGCTTCGATTCTGAGAACCCTGAGATTAGACAATAGAGATTAAGAGATTAGAGATTTAGAGATTACAGATTACAGAGTAAGACTGTAAGAGATTAGAGCTTAGAGAAATAGAGATTAAGAGATTAGAGATTTACTTTACGGATTTACAGAATTAGAGATGACTGATGCGTGCTGAGTCTTGAGTTCTTGACTCTTGAGAGAACTGAGACTCTGAGAGACTGAGAGTCTGAGAGAGTGAGACTCTGAGAGAGTTGAGAGTCTAAGAGAGTGACTGAGTGAGAGTCTGAGACTCTGAGAGAGTGAGAGACTGAGAGAGTGAGAGAGACAGAGAGTCGAGAGTCGAGAGAATGAGAGATGCGATCTCAGATCTCAAACCCTAGGTCAGCTGCGCGGATGAGAAAATGAAGACCAAGTGGTGGAAGGCATGTATATATACATTGATGGAACGACGCCGTATTATACAAGGCCTTAGGGAACCCTAGGATAGTTCGGGTGGTCGGACGGGTCGGTTGGCAAAAATGTACACCCCATCCGAACCTTCTAAACCGACGCCGTATTGAATGGCGGATCGGGTAAGGAGAGTCGGGTACGGGTATCCACTCCGATAGCCAAGCAGTGGGGCGGGTCGGACGGGTTGTTCGGGTTGGACGGGTTTTGCACAGCCCTAGCCACAATAACGCTGTCCATAAAATGACAAATTTTTTTATAAAGGACTAAAATTGTCCAAGCCACTATAAATTTAGGACTAAAAATGTCTTTACTCCTAATTATATCATGATTTGCAATTATTACAATTTAGGTCCCTAATAATACTCCGTATATTTCTAAGGATAAAAATAATTAGTTTTGTGATTAAATAAGAGTCAAATTAAAACAAACAAACAAACAAATAAATAAATAAATAAATAAATAAATAAATATATATATATATATATATATATATATATATATATATATATATATATATATATATATATATAAAAGGAAGGGATCAGGTGTATTTGAGACTTCCCGTGCGGTTGTGCGGGTGGACGCACGTTAATAAGCATTAATCTGACGCACTTAAAGGACACAACACACGCACATTAAGCACACAAACAAAACACCCTTCAGAACACAACCTCACGCATGTTAAGTACAAGTCTCAAGCATGTTAAGCACAAAAACACACGCACCTTAAATTTTAAAAACAACTTAATTACATACATTAAGTACACACTCACGCACATGAAGTATACAACTTACGCACATTAAGCACACGACTCACGCCCATTAAGCACAAACTCACGCAAAAATTAAGCATAAAACTCATGCACTTTAAAGTTTCAACAACAACTCACATTAAGTACACACTCACGCACATTACGCACATTAAGTACACACTCACGCACATTAAGCACAAAACTCACGCACATTACGCACATTAAGTACAAAACTCATGCACATTAAACATTACACGCTCACGCACATTAAGCACAAATCTCACGCACATTAAGCACAAGACTCACGCACATTAAGCACAAGACTCATGCACATTAAGTACAAAACTCGTGCATATTAATCACCCGCACAACCGCAAGGAAAACACTTAAATGTACCTGAATCTAAACCTATATATATATATATATATATATATATATATATATATATATATATATATATATATATATATATATATATATATATATAATGCCCCTCTATAATATATCAATTATCAATGTCATCCATGAATTATAAGTGGTGTAAATGTTGTTCCTCAATTATCAAAACGGTGCACATATAGCTGCTCCTGTAACGGACATGTGGTTCCCTGTTAGTGTACGACACTGTTAAATCGGAGTAAATATGTAATTTAGTTGTTTTTTTCCTCCCTCAATTTGAAGTACCAGCGATGGAGGGGTAGAGAACCACAGGTCCGTTACGGGAGGGGCTATATGTACACCGTTTTGATAATTGAGGGGCAACATTTACACCACTCATAATTTAGGGGTGACATGGATAATTGACATATTATAGAGGGGCATTTTTTACAATTTCTCTCTCTCTCTATATATATATATATAAAAGAAGAACATTTGTAAATATATTCCTATATATATTATGTGTATATATATTCTTCCCCACATTTCATTTTCTACATTTATTGCAAATTTTGTTATCTCGTTTTCGTGCAAATTAAATGTAAGATACCGAAGTTTATATGAAAAAAGAAAATTCTCTATATTTTCTCTCCACACGTGTCGCCTTCGCAGGCCAATTAATCGACCCTTCCTGAGTTCCACTTTCATTCATTCATACTAGCTGGAGCTGAGGTCCCTCCACAGATCATTCCAACAACATAAGAGTTGCAAAGTCAATCATGCCTGCTCCACACAAACGTTCATATCATTTACTGATCATTAGCTTAATAATTAGGTTTTTGTTTAGATCGACTCCATCATTACGCGGTTTGGACACCATTCACCTTGGTTATACTAGCCAATTAAACTAATTTTGGACAAATTAACTGACTGGACCTAGTATGATTTTTGTACATAAAAGTTGCGAATTTGATTCTTGCAAATATTCTCTGGGTTGAATTTATCTCTCATGTGTGATTTGCAGACTATTACATACGAATTTGATTCTTGCAAACACTTTCTAGGTTGGGTTTTTCTTTTTTTTTTTTTGGAGGGTGTGCATGTACTGGATAAACATATATATAACTCATGATCTTAATATAAGAGAATCATGCAACACCCAGTCACTTGGTCACCGTTCTCGGGGCAGATAAGAACCTTTGTTTGAGATGTATATATTTTGAGAAAAGTGATAGGTTGGGAAGTGGTGACGGCGGCATAACCTATGAATGTGTGACACACACATGTATAGTTTGTGAACTTATATATACAAGAGAATACGGCTAAATTGAAGTGATGGTATAAGCTAGAAATAGATACATACATGGAGTGGAGGGCGGGCATCTAATGATTGAGCAATACAACTTTTTTCTCTTTGGTAGTTTTCACTTTTAAAAATTTTCAACTGGCAGATCAGAAATGCCTTACCCACCCACCCAGATGATCTCTTTACAAGATACCCTAAATATGTAATGGCCAATAAGAATACTCTGTTTCTCTTTCAAACCCATGGACCATGTCCCCCTCCCATCCCTTTCACTTCTACCCTTCTTCTTATCCTCTGTATAATCTCTGCATTAAACACACCACCCCCACTTTCTCTTTCTCCATGAATATGCCCTCCAATCCCACATATTATGTTTCCTTTTATAATAATAATAATAATAGTGTGTATGTAACTCCTGAGTTCTGGCGAAATTGTTCTGAAAGACAGTGAACTTTTTTCACGTCACAGTTTTAAATTAAACTTCGTATTAAGATGACTCAGTGTGTTCCTAGTTGGGATGTTGAGGATAATTCGACCACGACGGTGACGATTAATGGCGTTGCGCAATCCGGGTCTAGTTCTTTTGGGGTGGATGTTCCTTCGTATGTATAGTAATCTTTTTTTTTTTTTTTTTTTTGAGTTTTTCTTTACCTTTCTGCCATTATTATTGTTTCTTGTTCTTGTTAATCTAAATAAGGTTTTTGTTTGATGTTGCAGGTTGGACTATGAAGTTGCGGAGTTGACGTGGGAGAATGGGCAGTTGGCGATGCATGGATTGGGGCCGCCGCGGGTGCCGAGCAAGTTGCTGGCGGCGGCGTCGGCGGTGAAGTATACGTGGGATAAGCCACGCGCCGGCGGGACGCTGGAGTCGATCGTGAGCCAGGCGACTTGCATGCCGGCGACGCACGGGAAGGGTGGTGGTGACGGGGGTAGAGGAGGGGGCGGCGGGGAGCTCGTGCCGTGGTTTGACCACCACGGCGGCGGCGCCGGGGATAACCCCGCGGCGGCGGCGGCCTCCGTGACGGTGACTATGGACGCCTTAGTGCCGTGCGCCAACAACAACAACAGCAACACTAACACTCCCGCCGCCACCGCACGCGTGGCGGGGTTCTCCGGTCTTGTGGGGTCGTGCAGCGGCGCCGGCGCCGCCACCCGGGAAGCCAGTTTAGCACGTGTGGGTGGCGCCGCCGCCCACGACTGGAGCAACAGAGGCGCCGACCAGATGAGCATGAGCGGAAGCGCCACCTACGGCCGGGATAGCCAGCAGGTGACAATTGAAACGACGTACGATAGGGATTTGGGTACCGAAGCCTACACCTCCGCCTCCATGGGCTCGCCGGAAAACACCAGCTCCGATAAACAGTGCACAAATAAGTCCAATGATGACAATGATCACTCCGTCTGTCACAGCAGATCTCAGGCAAATACACCCTCATTCTTCACGTTTTAAAATCTTGAATTTTAATTTAAGCCGGTCAGCTATAGACAATATAGTTGTCTATTAATTTTCTTCATTTGAGTCAGTTAGTTATTGGTCAGTTTATCCTTTGTCCATTATAATCACAAGACTGACTTTATCTGTCCACACAGTTGAATAATGGCTACTGATTTTCCTTTGTCATAAAAAAAATAGAGAAATTCAACATTTTTTTTTTAAAGTTATAACTATGCAAATCGACACCTTATTAAACATTTCATGAAATTCCAAACACATAAAAATTGGGATAAATAATTTTTTTTTTCCCTATGCAGAGGGAAATTGGTAGTGATGATGAAGACAAGAAGAAAGGAAATGGGAAATCCTCAGTGTCAACAAAAAGGAGCAGGGCTGCTGCTATTCACAACCAATCTGAAAGGGTAATTAATATACTAATTTCCCTTTTCTTAATCAATTATTAGCTGAATCATATGACATGTTGCAATTAAGAATTTGTTCTGTCGGAGGAAGACTAATTGCATGCATGCATGTTATTGATTACCAGAAAAGAAGAGACAAGATTAACCAAAGGATGAAGACGTTACAGAAGTTGGTTCCAAATTCTAGTAAGGTACCAAGTAGTATATATTATTATTTTTTTGAGTACATATATTATTATTATTCTTATATGAAACCCCACTTTTTTATATTCGATACCATGATTGATCTAATAGGAATCTTATTACAATCGTAATCTTAATCTTGATTAGCCCAACTTGTTTCGAATGGTACGATATTGCTTGGATATTCGATGCTGACAACTATTTCAACCTTACCCATAAACTAAATCCCTCCTTTATTAGCCTGTCTGGGTGCTTCTTTAGTTACTTGCGAAAAAGTCAACATAAGATTGTAGAATACTTTTTAGTTAAATTTTAATATTTCCCTTTTATGAAATTTATAAAAAAAATATTACATGTCAAGTTATTATTATATGTATCGATATCTTGTGTAAAACGATCTAATACAGGAATTACTTTCCATGAAATATCAGTTTTCAGTCTTCTTTATTAGATTTAGGTGGGAAATAATGGATTAAAAAATAGGGGTAATCGTGTTAATTTGATTTCATTTTGACGGATGTTATGGGTGTTTTAACGACGGTGTATACTGGGTAAATATATTTTTGTGTAATAGTTGACAAATCACAATAGGAAGACTTGTGTGATGGGTTCGATCAAGAAGATGTTTGTCAAAAAAAAAAAAAACTGTAATATTTTAGTACGAGATAATATTTTATCCACCGATTATTCTTCTTCAAATTAAATTCTTTTATCTTTTTTTGGGTGACGTGAGAAATCCCACAACAACTACACAAGGATATGCACGGAGTAATTATCAATGAAATATGAAAATGGATTTGGAGACAAATCAAAATCTGGGGGTTTTAATGACTGAAAATGATGGCACACACTCTCTCTCTATATATATATATATAAAGAGGTAAAACAGTAGTGAGGGTGGTCCACGAAATATGATACGGGCATAGCACATGTGGCGTAGGAAAAGTTTGGCAATAGTGTAAGGATGCTAGTCCACACACGTTACGTTAAGGAGTGGAGACAGGGCGACAGAAGGGTGTTGGTTGTGTACACAAATTTCATCCACCACCTAAATACCTCTCCTCCGACGTAGGACCGACGACAATTCTCATCTCCGGGAAGGTTGTCTCCGGTCAATCATGGCCATGCATGTGGCGTGTCATCTCATCTCAGTTACCCTTTCTTCAATCTTGACTATATATAGTGATGATAGCAACTTAACCCCAACCCCCACCTGATCCACCCCCCATCCATTGTATCAATCCACCTTTTATCTTGTCCTATCTTCCTTCTTGCTGCCCTACCCTGCCTGCTTGGTTAACAATGATGTTACTATGATATATACGAACTCAAATTTTAACTATGTAACGATTAGTGATTTTGACTAGCTAGTTTACATTGAGTGGCAATTAGTGTGCACTTGACTCGACTAATTTCAGCCAAGTTGATTGGACAATTAGTCTGATAACTACAATTAATTTCTTGTGGAAGGCTTTTTTAGTTCGAGCTAGCCAACTATGACCTATGGGTAATTAACCTAAGTTAGTTTATCTCCTTGTGATCATGTTATTAGGGTCACAGGGATTTGAGGGTCGCCCACACTTTGCCCTTAATTGGACCAGTTCGGTGCGAATGAGGATTAGTTCGAGTATGATACGGGCTTAAACGTGCATCTTATTACAGTTAGTACATGCTCACGAGTCACGACACCTCATGGCTTATAAAAAAAAATAAAAAAATTATGTGATCAAATTGAGGGAAAAATCTTTTTTATCTAAATTTGAGTATAAGATGTACTTAGCATGGCATATATTTGATTGAATTCATAATTTTTAATGATGTTTTTGCAGACGGATAAGGCTTCGATGCTGGACGAAGTGATAGAATATCTGAAGCAGCTTCAAGCGCAAGTGCAGATGATGAGTAGGATGAACATGTCGCCGATGATGTTCCCGTTGGCAATGCAACAACAGCTCCAGATGTCGATGATGGCGCCGGCCGCCGCCGCCGCCATGGGAATGAACATGGGGATGGGAATGGGTGTGATGGACATGAACAGCGTTGCCGCCGCCGCCGGCCGTTCCAACATCCCCGGAATCCCTGGTCTCCTCCACCCGGCAGCTGCTAGCGCCGCCGCCGCCGCCTTCATGCCCATGGCCGCCTGGTGGGAGAACTCCCTCGATCGCATGCCTACCGCCGCCGCTTCTTCCATGATGCCTGATCCTTTAACCGCATTTCTTGCTTCCCAATCTCAGGTACCTTTTTTTTTTTTTTTTTTTTTCTGAATATTTATTAATAATTGATAGATATATTTTGTCACAGCTAAAAATCTAAATTGAAAAATTAGATTGTATATTTATATTATATATATTATATATTATTTCCAACATTAATTCTAAAGAATTATTGCTTTCGAATTGCAGCCAATGACAATGGATGCTTATAGTAGGATGGCAGCTTTATACCAGCAGTTTCAACAAGCCCCGGGTGGTACCAAAAATTGAGTTTTGAAACTCAACGCATACTCTCGAATAGCAGCTGCAATTTTCTCAACTCATCATTAAAAATTTAAGTTTTTATTTTTGAAAAAAGAATTTTAGTAGCTGAATTGATCTGATTAAGTTGAAGAAGATCGGTACGTGTGATTAAAGGAAGCAATATATATACTTAAGAATTGCGTAGGTTGTTACAAGGCTAGTTTCACTCATCGCGGTTGTGGGATTTCTCGTAAATTAAAGAATTGTGTAGGCTGAGACTGTATATTCATCAGCTCTAGCTAACCCTATCATGAATATTCTTTAAGATTACATTGTTGAGTTCAATAATGGTTGTATAAAAGATATTTGATGATGACAAGTCATATTTACATTATTACATGTATACAATTAACGAGGTCAAGATTGGTGTTTGTTGTGTTTGACGTTGAAATTTTAGTTGATATGAAAAACGTTGGGAACAAGACATTAATATAAACTTGGAAAATGTTTGGTACGAAGCATTAATACTTTACTATAGACTTCTTCAACCACTCCATGTGTGATTCACTGCTTGACCAAACACTAGGGTATAGTAACCCTAACTAAATTGGTCCGACACTTGATAAATAACCACATGTAAGGTTTTAAGGTCGTCTCTTTCTGAAGGTATTGGTCAGTTATGGTCAACCTAGCTTGATTTATCTCATGCATTGCGCCATTGCGTTACTTTGCAGGCTAAGGTCAGAAGGTGGGCTTCTTCGTTTCTCTTTTTAATTTGTCCCGTTTTATCTGTCACATTATTATTCATTGATTAGATCATGTCTTCTTTCTTTATTTTTAAAACACATTTTCTTATTAACATTAAACTAAACATTACAAAAAAAAAAAAGCTGAATTGTAAATAATTTAAGTCAAGTTTAATTAATACAATATGATAAATAAAATTAGATGAGAGCTCACATGACACACCTCAAATTGTCAACCAACCTAAAATACGTTCATAAGCTTTGTAGAGTGCAGAATTCAAATCTTACCAAAGATTACACTAAAAAGGGAGGTATATAGACTTGGTTGTGTTGTGGCCAATCTGGGCACAATATACAAGCATTTGGTGACATATAAACTAGTTGAGATACATCTTGCGATTTACCTACTTCACCTGTTTTCTTGGAGTGTATAGGACCGTTAAGATTGAGGTTTAAATGTATTATAAAATGAGATGAGATTAACATAATATTTAATGTACAATTTGAATGATTTCATTTTTATCCATATAACAAAGTAAAGTAATTGATAAATAGTAAAGGTATAATAATATATGAATAATGAAGTGATTGAAGGAGGAGAAAGCTAAGGGGGTTTATTTGTTTGTATTGATGGCAAACAAGACACGCAAAACATGCAATGTCGGGCAAGAGAAGAACACATAAATGATTGCAGTTTAATTTGTTAGTCGACTCGATATATCATCGGGTCAAGCCTTCCATCTCCACACGTTTTGCACACACTTAAAACACACACACTCTATCCTACACGTACATCCAGTGTTTGCAATAATCTCGCTTAGGTACCGATTAATCAGCGCTTAGGCGCTAGGCGCGGGACGACAGCCTAGCGCATCACCATAATCGGTGGTCTAGGCGGCTGACTAGGCCGCCTAAGCACCGCATAGGCCGCTTAGACGCTGACCGTCTAAGTCTCTTGGGCACCGACTAGGTTGCCTAGTCGGCCAATTAGCTATTTTTTTCATTTTTTAAAAATGAATTATTTCACTCAAAACAATATTATTTTGAACAAAATTAATAACTCTAAAGTGATCAAACTCTAAATGTTTTTAGGTTAATATTTAATATTTTAGTATTAACTCCAATCTTAAAAAAATTAAAAAAAAATTTAAACATATTTTTAAAAAATAAAAATATACGGGCGCCTAGCGCCCCTTGAGCGACTAGCGATTTTTTCAACCATGCGTACACCTACATATATGTATGTTGTGTATATATAGGTATGTATCATACATACCTTTATATGTATATTTGTATTTATATGTTCTTTTCAACCTTTTTGTATTTGTATTTATATTTCTATTTATATGTTGATCTGTCAACCTTTTTCGGTAATCATTATCTCAGTTGATAAAACATCTTTCTCAAAAAAAAAAAAAAAAAAAAAATCCCTCTCACATTTTGTCTTTTTTATTTGGAATAAGGGTCAAATAGGCCATCGAACTGCACACGATAAAACAATTAGGCCATTGAACTTAAAAAATCAACACTTAGGTTCCTAAACTAATCAATTTCAAACAATTCTTCCAATTTGAAGGTTTCCAACAGGTCAACAGGTCATCTCCCAAATTAATTATTTTTTTAAAATATAAATTTTAAAAATTAATTATTAAAAAAAAAAAAAAACTGGAATCCAGCCGGAGACGACCGTCTCCGGCTGGAACCAGTTTTTTTTTTTTTTTTTTTTAAATTTAAATAATTAATTTTTAAAATTTAAATTTTAAAAAATAATTAATTTGGAAGGATGACCCGTTGACCTGTTGGAAACCTTCTAATTAAAAGAATTGTTTGAAATTGATTAGTTTAGGGACCCAATTGTTGGTTTTTTAAGTTCAGTGGCCTAATTGTTTTATTGTGTGCAGTTCGATGGCCTATTTGACCCTTATTCCTTTTTATTTTTTATTTCTCTCTCTCCATCAAAATGATGAAATAGTAAAAACAATTCGATCCTCCAATTGTGCCTCCTAACGGATGCCTAACCCGCAAACAAAGTCAGACATCTTTTCAAAGCTTGAAAAGTCTACCACACAAAATAACAATTATGTACTAAAAACCTACAATTTTATTGTAAAAAATTAGTTCAAAATTAAAAATTATAAGAACCCATAATTTAAAGTGTCTTTTGGTAGAATGTATTGTTCTCAAACAATTAAATTAGATAAAAAAAAAATTTGTTCAATAATTTGTAAGACGTACATACAAAATGGGTGGAATTATTCTTCTTCCTTTTTAAAAAGTTAGTATTTTTCTTTTAGTTGCTAAAAGTCCTATCTAATAATTCTTCACCACATCTTACAGGCGTGCAATCCAAGCCAAGTTGGATGATGACGCATGCAATCTGAGCTGAGGTAGATGATGACATAATGCACAACATTTTCCTTTTCATTTTCCTCTTACTATGTAGACCCTTTGCATTACTCACAACTTCTTCAACTTTGAATATAATGGAGAGATTATTATTTGTGCATTGTTTTATGCGCTTTCAATGTAGAGGTTTCAATTGAAATTGCGATCATTCAAGTACGATGATCATACTCTACCCATAATATTTTTTGACATTTATATTATTTGATTGATAATATCGGGCATGTTTTGATTGATTTGAAGCCGGTTGGCTTCCATTATGTATATTAACTGTGAGGCTAGGTTGTTATTGTCGTATTGTTTTCGTCATGTTGTTTTGAATTATTGAATTTGTCGATTTATTTTAAATATAAAAGTCAAATCTTTCGTGTATGATTGCTTTATGATGCTAATAAAATTTTGTGAACTAGTTTTTTTTTTTTTTGGGAACTTTAATCCTTAATATATATATATATATATATATATATATATATATATATATATATATATATATATAAGAAAAGATATAAAACACACACACACACATACTTCTGTATAGAACTAAACCATGAGAAAATCTGTGGGAAAGCTTAAGGCACGAGTCATGTATTGTACGCAATGTAAAGTCAAAATTTTACTTGTTTGCTTATGGCAAGTGGCAATTTGTATATATCCTTCAAAAAAAATTGAATATATACCTAGTAAATACATAAATAACATGTTAATATAATATTTAATTATTTATTAGACTAACATCTTCAAATTTAATCTATCTTCGACTACTAATTTACTCACAAAATGAGAATTATTCTCACCCCAGACTCCCACATTCCAGCCGGACAACACAATAAATTGATAAAAAGTTTTAAATTTTGTTGTTTTTTCTATAATTCTAAATCATCATATTATTGTATATGTCTCATATGATATTTGAAAATATATAACAAGCGGAAGAGTACATAATGTTGTAGAGTGAGTGGAGCAGAGTGACAAATTAACACTTGTCTTTGTGATTTGAACTTGAACTAGGTTCGTTGAGTGCGTCGGGGTACATATATGTGTAGTGTCATTGTTGTATAGTACTAGAGTAATTTTATAAATGTATTATTAGAGCTAATTCTCTATAAATATGATGCTCCCATGGATGTAATTTTCCGTACTTAAGCATCAGCCGAACCACGTAAATCTTTTTCTTCTATATTTTTCAGTTTTTTGTTCGTAATATATATATATAGGGAAGGGATCAGGAGCGAGGAGGGCTTCCCGTGCGGTTGTGCGAAGAAATGCACCTTAAGTATGAAACTGGCGCACTTTAAGTACACAACGCACGCACATTAAACACACAAACAAAACACCTTAAAAACACAAACACACGCACCTTAAGCACAAAATTCACGCACGTTAAACACAAACCTCACGCACCTTAAGTAAAAAATTTACGCACAATACTCACCGCAGAACCGTACGGGAAACACTTAACCCCACGGGAACCTAATTATATTTATATATATATATATATATATATATATATATATATATATATATATATATATATATATATATATATATATATATGCAGAGTACTATACACATGATGACTTTTCTGAATGAATATGCAAGGCAAATGCCAGTGATCTTTGCTGTTTGATGCAGTGTAGGGGACCCCAAACATATGAAGACCAGAAAAAGTTGGATATGATAGAATGAATATGATTCTTATGTCTCCACCCAATGCCATCCATCTAGCCGTCTTTTCCTGTAGGTTATGATTGAACTCTATTATTATTATTATTATTATTATTATTATTATTATTATTATTATTATTTATTATTATTATTATTATTATTTATTATTATTATTATTATTATTATTATTATTATTATTTATTATTATTATTATTATTATTATTATTATTATTATTATTATTATTATTATTATTATTATTATTATTATTATTATTATTATTATTATTTTATTATTATTATTATTATTATTATTATTTATTATTATTATTATTATTATTATTATTATTATTATTATTATTATTATTATTATTATTATTATTATTATTATTATTATTATTATTATTATTATTATTATTATTATTATTATTATTATTATTATTATTATTATTATTATTATTATTATTATTATTATTATATCTCCCAAACTATTTCTCTTGTCGTGAATATCATCCTTATATCTAATTTTAGTAATTTCTTGTATCGCGTTTAAGATAAGGTCCATATGTGCATAAACACAATT